ACTACACGGCACCCGCTTGGGAACCGTAGAGTCAGTCGTTCTAGCTCTTTTAAACCTGTACGTCGTTCCGACGAATAATAATAAATTAAACAGTGAATTTAATATTGCGACTCACAATAAAATTATATTAGTATATAAATCTTTAAAACTGTTCTTGTTGTTCTCTCGCCTAAAATTGAACTCTCACACTACCGAAAAAACAACGTTCAAACGGAACAACTCGTACGAGCACAACAGTGTAAACAATATTATATTGATAACGTGCAAATCTAATTTAAACTTTTTATGAAATTATAATACACACATATTTGGTGATGGTACATTTACATACAGACCTTCTTATTTTTATCAAATGTATGGTATACATGGTTACAGAAATTGATTTTATATACCTTTAATTATTGAATTTTTGCCCTCAAAATCATTTGATTGCTACCTAGAAATATGGAATTTTATTTGTGAATTGTGTATAAATGAAAATCAACAACCGTTTAATCCAATATCAATGCATCTAGATTTTGAAATTGCTGCTCACCAAGCTTTCAGAAACGTATTTAACAATAGTACCATGAAGGTACACTTAACGACTGTCATCTGCTTGTAGATTTCACTTGGATCAGTCTTGGTATCGGAAGATAAATTCTATTACAGATCTGAAAAAGTTTTATAATGATCAGTCTTCCGATATAGCCAAATGGTTAACAATGTTCTTCGGATTACCATTTTTACCGTCGGATGAAGTCGAAGATGCTTTTTTTGTTATTCAAAATTTAACGCCCGATTTTAATTTATTATGCTTATCAAAATTTTAGTACTATATATTGTATAATTATATTATTATTGGGAGTAAATTTCCACCATCAATTTGGGCTGAACCTCCTTCTGAAGTGCCACGAATGACAACTTGAGCCGAGTCTTTCCATAAACATTTTAATGCCCAATTTTATTCACCTCATCCACCAATTACTAATGTTATCGAAAATTTAAAACTAATTCAAGTGGAAACTTATTTGAAAATAAACGAAGTTAATTAAGGCACAGTGAAACCTAAACGAAATGAGGAAAAAGAACGTATAGAATTTTCATGTACAACTTGGACCGAATATCAAATAAAAAATATAACCAGAGAACAATATTTAAAAAAAATTGCTTATAAATTTAGAGGACTTATCATAAACATATATTTTATGTACTTTTTTTTTATTATAATATATGACATGTGAAAAAATCAACATTATTAATTTTTATTTAAATTTTTTCAACGTTTTTTAAATATAAATATTGACTTATTATATTATTATATTAACTTATCATGAAATTTTTTTTATACACTTTTTTTTATTATATATTACGTGTGAGAAAAATCAACAGTATTAATTTTTATAATAATTGCATGTACTCACGAACGTTTCACCAGCCAATTTTTTTGAAAATTGTAATGGGGGGGGCGTTTGGCGTGGTCAGAAGTTCAAATTTTAAAAGTTGGGGGGGCATTGAAATGTACTTATCAATAACTACATTAATTAGACAATTAGAGCTTGGTTGTTAGATAAATTTTTAAAACTCATAAAATTTTATACCGAATTAAAAATATATAGTAATCACTATAGGTAATAATNTTTTTATTTAATTATTTTGCGTACGTTATTTTATTTTGTTGTGTAAAATCATAACAATATTTACATTTAATTATTGCAAGCTTGTACAATATAATATTATAATTTATTCTGTTGGGCCAGAAGGGCCACAAATATTACTTTTGTTTTGTCCATCCATAAGGGCTGTTATTTATTATATAGTATTTTGTATACCATTATTGTGTTKCTGTGAATTTTTATATATTTGTACATTTATGATTTAATTTGTGTATCAAACAGCAGCTCAATTTCACCAACCATCGTGTTATAATTTATTTTAATTATAGTTTAAGTATTTGTGTACACACACACATACATACACACATACACACGTTTTGCACCACACGCATTTCGTAGTTTTACAGTATTCGCCCGGCAACCCCGACCACTGCTGTTTGAACTACTACACCACTACACACCCAGCTATCAATATATAATTTCTCCCCCTAGGTGTTAGTGGTGCCCTAAAGCATTGGCGTTCGGGCACGCGTAATATTAGCTTATGCTCCCGGCCCGTACATTTGGTGACCTCGACGTGATTGTTTTTTTTTGTTTTTGGATGTGTCAATAATTAATTTAATCTTAATTATTATTATTTGGTTTCATAATATTTTATATTCGAACGGGTAATCAGTATTATTATTATCTCACAGTCCGAGATAATGGGTCTAGCGGCGATCGTATAATTTCTATCAGTATTATTGCTTTTATTGCCGGTTCTATATACACATACAATTGTTGCTTGTGTCGTATTTAATTATAAATACATAGTGTTGGGCTAGTCAGTATAAAATATTTTTTGGTTTACATCACATATAGGGCATTTAAATTATTACTTTCATTATGACGGATGAAATGGATTTAAAAGCGCTTATTGGCTTGAAAAAGAAACGAGCTGTTATCAAGGCAGCATTAACTCATCTCCGTACGTTTGTAGCTAATTTTGACGCTAGAGAACAGGCGTTGTCCTTACTTGAATTTCGTCAGGAAAATTTACCTGCAATTAATAAGAAGTTTGATGACATACAATCCCAAATAGAATTGCTTATGTCGGATGACACTGATGAAGCTGAAGCAGAGAGGGACAAGTTTGAGAACGACTACTTTTCCATAAGGTCTCAAATTCAGGAGTTGATTAATCAAGAAAAATCCCACTCTACCACTGGATTAGCTCACTCTTCCTTTACAGCTGCACATAATATACAACGAGCACAATTAGCGCCAATACCATTTTCTAAATTCAACGGAAATATTCAGGATTGGTCCTCATTTTTTGACATATTTAAAGCTATGGTCCATAAGGAAGAAAGTTATTCACCGGCTCAAAAATTATTTTATTTAATGTCATGCCTAGAAGGGCAGCTTTAGATTTGGCGAGATCTATACCTGTTAGTGACGGGAATTACGAAGTTATCATTGAGCAGCTGATACATCGGTACGATAATCGTCGTCTGGTGATTCAATCTCATATTCGTTCGATTTTGGATTGTCCACGGGTGGAAAAGGCAGCATTCAAAACATTACAACAGCTACATTCGACTATGTGCACCCATGTGGCTGCACTCAAGACAATGGGTCAGCCAGTCGAGCACTGGGACGCATGGCTTGTCACCATTGTTGTTAGCCGATTGGACAAAGGTGCCGCTCATGGTTGGAAACTGCATCAAATAAATTCTGAGCTACCAAAATATTCTGATCTTGAAGCGTTCCTGGCAAGTCGTTGTGTAGCTTTAGAAACATCCGAGTCATACGTACAGTCTGCTAATGTAACCCAAAAGGTTTCAAATTCAAGAGGTCATGTAGTATCAGCGACTTCAAAGAAAGCTTTAACAGTAGCTGGAAGCAAACCGTCTCGACCATGCTCCTGTTGCAAGGAGGTCCACAGGATATACGACTGCGGGAAATTCAAAGAATATACAATATCCGAACGATTGGATGTAGTTAGAGACAATCGGTTATGCTTTAATTGCCTGGCGCCATTCCACACAGCTGATAATTGTAAGTCAAGTCATTCATGTAAGAAATGCAATCGAAAACATAATACAATATTGCATTTTGAAAAAAATCAGGAGGAACAGCAGTTACAAGGCGAGGCATCAAGTTTACAGTACGCATCACGAAAACGTGCGGATGACCGCAGCGCGCTCTGTATCGGTTTTTCTGTAAACCAGGGGGCCTCAATATTTGATCCATCACAGGAATGCGCTACTGGCGCGACGGGTACTATATGTTTTGAAAAAAACAACTAACCTGTACCTTTCAAAATGTCTCTGTCTTTTGTTGACTCTTGGCGCGTTCGGTACTGTAATCTATTGTAAATTTAGCTGTGCATTCCTACAATGTTTGATCACGTGTTTTTGATATGGCGACTTTTACACACCACGATATTCACAGTCAAAGTAAAAAATGATTTACCGGGTATACGTTTTTTTTTTTTAAAAAAATTATCCACTATGGAAAATTTATCTGCTGAGTTTCTTAAAAAAAACTCAAAAAATTACTGCCGAAGCGTGTGGAATAAGTGAACGAAGTATACAAAATATTGTAGCTGAAGTAAAAAAATATGAAAACGATGATACACCAACACCAAGAAGCCTATTCGTGTCACCGAGGAAATCGTATAAACGGAAGAAGGTCATGACAGATATTGACGACTTCAACGTTGACGTGGTTAGAAGAACTGTTCATGAATTTTATGACCAAGGTAATTGAATTAATTTAAAATATTTTTTTTTTATTATAGGAAAACATACGTATATAATACCCTACCTACGACCTACCTCATATTAAATTTATTACGCATTTTTAACTGAAAATATAATCTTCAAATGTTTGTCACTTTTACATGTAAATAGAAACTATAATATATAAAAACATTATTATAGRTGAATATMCAACATCTCAAAAAATTTGTGAATCCATGAGGAAAAAAATTAACTTTGAAGGTTAGGTTAAAGTCATCAGTACAGAGGATTTTACGCTCCTTGAACTTCAAATACAAAAAGTGTTGCAATGGACGTACATTTTTAATGGAACGGAACGATATCGTGGCACTCCGAAACACATTTTTGAGAAAAATGTGTAATTTACGTTTCAGTGGTGACACGAGACATGTCATTTATTTAGACGAGACTTGGATGGACCAGAACCATTCAAGAAACCATATTTGGCAAAACGATATGGATAGCGAAGGATTTAAAGTAACAACCGGTAAAGGCCGTCGTCTGATTGTATTCCATGCTGGAGCAGCTAAATTTGGATTCATATGTGGCTCAAAATTAATTTTAAAAAATTCTAAAAATGACGGTGACTACCACTCACAGATGAATAGTCAAATATTTCATGACTGGTTTCAAAATATGATGCAACTATTGGACGAACCATGTGTCATTGTTATGGATAATGCACCATATCACAGTGTACTAGTGGAGAATGTGCCGAAATCAAATACAAAAAAATCCGATGTTCAAGAGTGGTTATCCGAAAAAGGCATCGATTTTTCTCTTACAGAAACCTTGGCGGAACTAAGAGAAAAAGTAAAAATGGCAAAACCGCGTGAAAAACGAGACCAGTTGAACGAGTTGGCATATCAAATGGGGCGTGAAGTGATCAGACTTCCGCCTTATCACTGCCAATACAACCCGATTGAACTAATTTGGGCGCAGGTAAAAGGTAAAGTCGCAACCAAAAATACAACATTTAAAATAGCCGACGTCGAAAAACTTATGCACGAAGCCATAGATGCAGTTACCTCAGAGAATTGGGAAAAATGTGTAAGACACGCAGAACAACTACAAAATAAAGATTTTGAAAAAGAAGGATTCAGAGATTGCATATTGGAACCCATCAAGTTAGAGATAACCTGGGTGTATACCGTAAGTGTCAAACTGTTATGGATAGTGGCTCGCAGATGAACTTCATTTCAAAAAGATTTGCAAAGCGACTTCAACTGCCATTGAAGAGGATGACGCTGCCGATAAGTGGTATCGGCGCAAGTACAACGCAATCCACCAACACCATAGATGCTCATATGAAATCCTGCATAAGAAACTTTGGCGTTAACATCAGTTGCTACATATTGCCGGTAATCGTCGAAGAACTACCTTCAGTAAAACCACCCAAGGAAGGATGGAAAATACCAAAAGAATACACCTCTTTACTAGCCGATCCTTCGTTCTGCGAATCAGGACCAATCGATTTATTGATTGGATGTGGCATTTTCTTCGAATTAATGGAAGCCAAGCGTATGCCACTATCGTCGGGAACACTTTGTTTACAAGAAAGTAAATTGGGTTGGATTGTTACAGGAGGTGTCCATTCTACATGTTTACTTAGTGTCGGTGAGGTATTAGAAGATAATTGGAAAAGCAAGGAATTGTAGAAGAAGATGACTATGGCAGATCGTCCAAGAATAATCAGAAGTGCCTTGAAGAGCAGCAAGCGTTGGAGCATTTTCAAGCCACTGCTACGCGCAGTACTGAAGGACGATTTGTACTACGTTTACCATTCAAAGCGAATGCTGCAGAATTAAGGGACACGTTAACAATGGCGAGATGTAGGTTCTTAAGTGTGGAGCGAAAATTGCAGCGGGGCGATAAGCTAAGAGAGGCTTATATACARTTCATGGACGAGTATATGGAAATGGGACATATGGAAAAGATAGACGAATCAGAAAGTCATTCCCGAGTCTGTTATCTGCCCTATCATCCAGTAATAAAAACGTCAAGCTCCACCACCAAGGTACGAGTGGTATTCGATGCCTCAGCCAAAGGATCCAACGGCAAGTCACTTAATGATATATTGATGCGTGGGCCCGTAGTACAGGGAGATATTTTTACAATTTTATGTAGATTCCGTAAGCATAGTTATGTGATTTCTGCAGACGCAGAAAAGATGTACCGTCAGGTGGCCATTGCAAACGAAGACTGCGATATGCAAAGGATACTATGGAGATCCACACCTAGCCAACAACTCGAATCGTATCGCCTTCTAACCGTCACTTATGGAACAACACCAGCGTCGTTCCTAGCTACTCAATGTTTAGTGGTGTTAGCCGATCAATATCAGACAGAATTTCCAGACGCTTTCAAGGCTATCAAAAATGACTTTTATATGGACGACCTAATGACTGGCGGTGAGTCGAAAGAATAATGTTTACTATTGCAACAACAAATTTCATTTATAACCAAGTCAGCAGGCTTGCCCTTACGGAAATGGTGCTCCAATTCTAGTGCTATAAGAGYTYGACTGTCTGGATTTAGCGAAGACTCTCTGTTCGCATTAGAAATTCAAAGGGAAGACGCAGTGAAATCCCCAGGGACTACATTGGAAACCGGACGAGGACGAGTTCCGATTCTATGGTGTTATGAAAGCCAATACTAGTRAAACTACCAAGCAGGTCATTCTATCTGACCTGAATAAGGTATTAGACCCATTAGGTTTCCTAGTACCAGTCCTAATAAAAGGGAAGATATTTATCCAGCAAATCTGGCAATTAAAGATATATTGGAACTGCGCGCTACCAGAGGACATACAACGCAGATGGGATAGTTTTTATACCGAAGTCGAAGGTTTACGATTTGTGACAGTACCCAGGTGTGCATCTGTAACTGCGAGGTGTCAAATTGAAATACATGGCTTTTGTGACGCTTCCCAAGAAGCATACGGTGCCTGTGTTTATGTACGTTCAAAAGATCAAGCCCATAAGTGGCACTCTCAGTTGTTATGTGCAAGAAGCCGAGTAGCATCCTTGAAAGGTGAAACAATACCTCGGCTAGAATTGAGTGGTGCTCTAACTCTAGTTCACCTAATTCGTAAACTCGCTTCAGCCTGGGAGGTGGATTGTCGTAAATACTACTTATGGACCGATTCCACAATTGTCCTAGGATGGCTTAATGCTCAGACTGTTCATCTCAAAGTGTACGTAGCAAATAGGGTCGCTCAGATACTGGAGCTAACCGACCCAAAACAGTGGCGTTATATAAGTACCAAAGAAAATCCTGCTGATATAATTTCCCGAGGTATTAGCGCAAGAGTTCTTAGTAACTCAGAACTTTGGTGGAACGGTCCGAAGTGGTTATCTGACAACGATAATGCAAGTACTCTAGGGGTTTACTCTTCAATAGAGGAATATAAACTACCTGAACAACGTCCATTGCAATTGTCATTAGTGATAGTAGCGAATATCGATAAGATTTTTCAACATTATTCTGAGTGGAATAGACTTAGAAAGGGCGTCGCCTGGTTGCGCAGATTTGTTGAGTTTCTCCGTTCGAAGAGTTTAGTATCTAAAACCAAGTACCTCACGTTAGCCGAATTGAAAAAAGCCCAACATTGGATTCTAGTTAGGGTGCAGGCAGAAGCATTTCTTGAGGAAATATCAGCAATAAGGCCAATAAAGACATCTCCCCAAGAAGCAAGTTGAAGCACCGTTTATACGAAATGTACTGATCCTAGTTGGGGGTTGACTTTCAAATTCTGATCTAACTGAGGAACAAAAATATCCTATAGTTCTTCCCTACCAGCGTAAGATCACGAGATTGATTTTTACCCACGTTCACCACGAATTATTGCATTGTGGACCGCAATTGTTACTTTCAGCCGTGTGTCAAGTTTATTGGCCATTAAAGGGCCGCCTGTTAGCTCGTTATACTGTACATCGGTGCATACCATGTGTCCGCGCTAAGCCTAAGTTCCAAATTCCATTAATGGCTCCGCTGCCACAGCAGCGCGTTAAATGTTCACGACCGTTCAGCATTACTGGCGTAGATWTCGCGGGTCTAGTCATGATACGAAGTGGTAGCCGTGAACGAGCTAACAAAAAGGCTTAGATATATCTTTTTATATTTTTTGCAAAAAAGGCCGTACACATGAAGGTTGTAGAAGATCTGACTAGTCAATCTTTTATAGCCGCTTTAAGAAGATTTATGACACGAAGGGGAAAACCAAAGGAAGTGTGGAGTGATAATTCCTACAATGTCCTACAATTTTTCGAATGGTTTAGAAGGTAAACCTGCCACCATTTGGAGCGATAATGGCACGAATTTTGTAGGAGCCCGTAAAGAATTAGCTTCATATTTAAAAAACATAGAATGCGACTCTCTTGAAGAGAGAATCTCGTGGCATTTCAACACCCCATCTGCACCACATTTTAGAGGGATTTGGGAGAGCGCGGTTAAGAGTGCGAAGCATCACTTAGCACGAGTATTAAAGGATGCTCAACTAACTAGCACTGAGCTACAAACATTACTGTGCCAAATTGAAGCGTGCCTTAATTCTTGACCTTTAACTCCAATGAGCAGCGACCCAAGTGACTTGCAGGCACTTACACCGGCACACTTTCTTATAGGAGGACCGATAACTATGTATCCGAAACCAGACTTGGCTAACGAAGAACAAAATTCAATACGTCGGTGGCGTTATGTCCAATGCATTATGCAATCCTTTTCGTGAAGATGGCAGACAGAAAATCTCCCACAACTTCAAATTCGAGGCAAATGGACAACCAATAGTAAAGATCTGGCAGTGGATGACATAGTTATTGTAAAGGACGAAAATATGCCACCAGCATAAAAACTCGCTCGCATAATCGAGACTCATCCAGGGAATGATGGAAAAATAAGGGTGGTAACTATACGCGTGGCCAATAATACTGAAATGCGTCGGCCAGTCATCAAGCTTTGTCGATTGCCTGTGTATGAAATAGAAGAAAAGTGAAAACCGAGGTTTTCACCGGGGGGTAGAATGTTACTGCGCAACAAAAATATAATAAGATAAGCTGGTCGCACAAACACACACATAATTACTGTTCTAATTATTGTTTTATTTTTGTGTGAATTATATAATATATAGATAATCACCAATATCGCATGCCGCCGCAGCGGTTACGTGAATATTATTTAACACAGCCGCCGTGACATTTTTGTATCGTATAAAACGTTGCCGCCTCAACACCGGTCAGTGCCGAAATATAATTTTATATTCTTTTTCCACAATAGTGGTAAATCTTGTTGTATTTTCTTTATTTTATTGTCACAAGTGCCAGAAGGGCTTATTATTATTATAGTAATTGAAACTTGTATGTGCCTAATTGTTGTATACATATTTTCTTTGTCGTGCCATAAGGGCCGTATATTATTATTTGTATTTACATTTTGTTTGGTCATAAGGGCCACACATTATTTTATATTATACACTTTATCTGCCTAGCCATAAGAGTGTAACGGAGTACGACATAAAACGGTCCTTTTCAGGACCACTAACAACTAAAAACCACATGCAACACATATTAAACGCAGTTCYAAAMGGCAGGTTTTACATAGTAAAGTTTCAACGGTATGACGAGGAAAAACCGCACTGAGCTAGTAACAGCCAMCAGGCAACGATACGATGATGACTCGTCATACCAACAATCTACAAACAATCAGCAACAACTTTACCGATCCAAATGGGTATATATACCAGTAGAATCTTTACTCTTCAACTTCATCTCTAATCGTCAACAAGTCATCAAGAACTTACTACACCGACGACTAGAGACCAGAAGAACAACCTACACCGACTCTACAGCTCAAGTTCAGATCGCCGAGCAGACCAGCGTCGAGGCGAAGCGAACGCAGTGTGACCAGAATCAGCCGACCAATAATAGTCGGAGAACSAAGACCATCGAACCGGCAGCAACAAATTCGACGACGTTGAGYATCCGGGACGACAAGTGAAACCACCGGACCGAACGTCATACAACATTATATACGCGATTGCTGTCATCGATCCCGTTCTCTCCCTTACCGACCACTTGCTAAAGTACCGTCGANACATATATACTCCGATAATGAGCTGCGGAAAAACCAGTGTTGAAATAGAAAATAAATCACAAATGGACAAGACAGTCGAGTGTCGACAAAGTAGTACTAAAAATTACAATATATATTAAATTATTATATTTACAATATGATACTGCAGTCCTCGATGGAGAGGGGTAATGGCTTACTATTAAACCTCATTTATTAAACCACATTTTCAAATTTATGAAAATTTTCAAATAGATTTTGCTATCCACCACCTCTCATTGAAAATTTAGTGCCTTGGTCAGCAATGTTTTATTTGCCTCCACCTCCATTCGTGGAGGATGGCCAGATGTTGATTGACTGAAGTTGTAGCATTATTTTGTAAGATGTGGCCGCATTTCTTGTACCAAAGACCGTCTAATATGTTCTTAGCCACTAGAATTATCAAAATAGATACGGTTTGTTAGCCTTGCAAGAGGAAATAACGATTGTATAAAATAATATGTTAATTAATATGATGTATAAAATATTGTTCATAATTTAAATGAAAATTAATATATATTATGTACATAATAACTATGTAAAAATTGTATAATATGTATATGTATCTCATGTAAATGTATATAAAAATATGTGTAATTAAGAGGACGTAATACCCGCAAGTGCGTTTTCTCCRTCTTACAAGTGCATTATATACTAAATTTTACGTTCAGCAGAACACGTGTAGCTCCGTTAGCTTAAACCTTAAACATTAGAGTGAACTGACGTCTTATAAAATTTAAAGGTAAGATTATCATCTAGACAACCTCATATGCTTTTTATTATATATTAAATTTAAAGTGAGTTATGAGTATTTTAAAATTGTAAATTTTTTGTGCATCTTTAAATACTCATAACTTGCTTTAAAATTTAAATATAATAAAAAGCATATGAAGTTTTCTAGATAACAATCATACTTTTAAATTTTACAAGAATTCAAATCACTCTAATTTTTAAGCAAACGGAGCTACACGAACGTAGAATTTACTGTATAATGCACTTTTAAGAAGGAGACAACACACGTGGGTCTCACGTCCTTTTAAATAACATTGTAAAATGATATTTTAATAAAAATAAACAAATCTTTGTATTTGTGTAGGCACCTATGTAAAATATGAATTAAAATTATAAAATCTGGTAGGCGAGTAACGGTCTGCTGTATATTAGGCGTCTATAGAGTCACTGTAATGGAAGTGTTACATTTTACCTAGTTCAATGATATAAAGTCGTTTCACACAATAAACAATTCTTATTATATTTATTCTCGTACAGGATCGTATGATAAAATAAATGTCCAAATGGTTATTCAGTAGAGTGCGGACATCATATTGATATTATTAGTACCTATGCACATTGTACCTACATAAAAAACATAACATTTGTCTGATGAATTATACATTTACGTTAAGCAAAATTTATGAGTAGGGCCCGGAATTATATGCACTAAAAATTTACAAAATACGCATGCATATATGCACTGATTTTCATTCAAATATGCACTTAAAATATATTTTATATATGTGAACAAAAATGAATTTTAATTAAATTTATTTAGTTTAAAAATGTATATAATTCATTAGTTAATAATTAATAATTAATAATTCATTCCTAGTTGATACAATTAAATTGTATTTCGTATGATGTATTCAATTGAGTATGTTGAATTTTGAACATCCACGCATCTAAATAAATTCTCGTGAACAAAAATTAATAAAAACTAATTTAGTAGGTATATTTTTATAATACAATATATTTCAAAGTTACCTGAAGAGTTACAGTTAACTTTCAACTACTTGGATACATTTTCAAATCAAAATGCATGTCGATTTTTAGCAATGTTTTTTCTTTTCAAATTCGCAGGTCTTACATAGGGCATCACGTTAACTCTTAGTATGAATAACTTAATACTATTTTTTCATAAATATGAATTATATTTTGGAGAAATGGTAAAATATGCATAAAAATTAAAAATGTTCCAAATATGCAACATTTAATTTTACATACCATCACATTAGGTTAAGATTCAAATTTGTGTCTTATTTAGCTACTTTTAATTTAATAAATAAAAATATGCAAATGCATACATTTCCAGGTCCTATTTATGAGTATAAATATAGCATTACAATTTACCTAAGATTGAGTTTAAATTGTGAAAGTCATGTATTGTGATATCTTACATACAAATAATGAAATAAAATATACTTTTGTATATATATAGATATATGTATATGTATATTGTATATACCATATCCTATCGCTATACTGTACGAGCGATAACATTATGAAAAACATGTAGTATCCAAAAATTAAATTAAAATAATAAATTTACGAAAAATAATTAATACTTGTATTTATAGACCATTATGATGCGATAATAGAATTTGTCGTTGCATGACAACAAAACACCCAGGGAATACTTGCATTATAAAAACAATAATACAATAGTATCCCAATAAACTGAAAGTATTCAATGTTAATATTTTTTTATCCATTAACTCTTTTTGCTTATTAATTGTATATTTTTKTGCGAGACACAATTACCAAAATTTAATCGTACATGTATGTAATGACCTAAAGAGCCTTTACCAATACTTAGCACCTTGGGCTATTATGTCCCCGTCCATCACTATTTTATTATTTTGAGGTGCCTATGGTAGAATAAAAAAAAAAAAGGAAAAGGTGAGGGCCTCGGCAGCATGATACCACAGGAATCAACTCCAAGTATTGTTAATCCACATGGTAAGACACAATTTGTTTATTAATAAAATTATAATTTACAATATAATTTAGGTAATAGTTAAAAATTTTAATTGGTATACTATCACCTTATAGATGCTTCTAGTTCAAATAGTACAATATTTACCAAACCATTGATACAGTCACATCAGTGGCGTATCTAGGATTTTTTTCTAGGGGTTGAT